GGGTTTGAAATAATACGGAAAGGGAGATGAGAATACAGGAGATAAGAAAGGGAATAGGAGATAGATCGAAAGATGGGATTTGATATTTAAAAAGAATTGTTAATTATTAAAAATTATTAAGCGTGCTAGAAATCAAATTAATACTATTAAAATTATTATACGTATGGTTAATTGGGAAGGGAGATTTTTGGCCATGAATTAAATTCAACGCTATCCAGGATGAAGTGAGATTTTGTTATGCGAAACGAAAGGGGTATTGTTATGTCAGAACAAATTGGGAAATGGGGTATTACTACTCAGAACTAAATGGAAATTGGGGTATTGTTACCCAGAAGAAAATTCTTATCCATTTTTCATTATGTTGCTGATTTTATGAGGCTTTTTTTCGTTGAATTATAAAAGGAATATATATTTTTGGTAATAAAAACTGTGATTTTGGGAAATTTGTGATTACATATATTTCATTGCTTGTGAACAATTCTCGAATGAAGGAGCCATCGACAGCCTTGCCAGCGGATGATTGCGTAGCATGTTTTAAATAAGCTCAATTAATACTACAACCGTCATGCTGACGAGGTGCAGTTGTGGTGCTGAATAGGAATGTGTACGGCTTGGTAGACTCGTGCTCGCTATTTATTTCCTTTTTCCGGTGGCATGTGTTTTAGCATAATAAATGTTATTTATCTAATTTTTTCTGATTTTTCAGGTTTTTATTTATTACATCATTTCATTTTTTTATTTTAATTTTTTCAGTATCTAAACGCGTGAAATTATTTCGACAAGACATCAGTCACGAAGCTGTTTTTCTAACAACGCATATGTTACTATAATAAATATTTATTTTATTTTCCCTAGTTTTTCAGTTTTTCAATGTTTACACTTATATTGTTGTAGTTTTATGTTTGAGTTTTTTAAAAATATTTTAAACGCGTAAAATTATTTTGACAAGACATCGGTCACGAAAAATTTCTTTTTTCTCGTTTTTTTTTGCTTTCAATTGTGTCGAAAAGTTTGTCATCCACTGAATACACAAAACGAAATGACCTTTTCCGATTTTTCGGTGTCTCGTTGAGAATTTTTTTAAATTCATTAAATTCAAATTTATCGCTGCTGCTGCTGCTGCTGGTTTTGCAAATTTGACATTTTCCACTCGAAGACTGTTCCGATGTCAGTGCACTTTGTGCCTATTCTCGGTAAAAAATTTTTTACTTTTACGACCGTTTTATTTTAGCATCGTCAAAAAATGTGGGTTGTCTTAATTAGGAGTTAACCTACATGGTACTTAACACAAGCTGCTGGGTTACTGCTGATTCATACCAGAAGTGCTGTCCAATGACTTATCAGATAACTAAACTATTTCGTTTCTTTTCGTTCCATGGTTGTTTTGATCAGTGGACCGATGACCAATCGTCCGGTGGTCAGCAGCCTGCTGACATTCATTTCGTTCCCTGAAGATTTAACGGTTTTCTCAGTTAAAAGCACATAGCAAAGCTTTAATCCTTAAAAAAGACGCCCATCATCTGTGTTTGACATCATTACAGCTACTAAAAACTCCTACATCTCGTAAAATCTTAATGTGAAGCAGTTTAACTTTTGCTTTTAAAATTTTCAAAAGTCGGGAAGTCCCCGAAAACACTTGAATTTCAAATTTTCTCAAGCGGGCAATTTTCTAAATTTGCGACAAAGCAAAACAAGATTTTTTTTTTTGCTTCCTGCTAGTCACTCACATTTTGAACACCTGTCTTTGAGGTATCCCACAATAACCAAAAACCTCTGCATTTCAGGAGAAACATAATGTAAAGGCATTTAACTGTTAAGTTTGAAGTTTTCAAAAATCCGAAAGTTTTCAGAAAACCCTGAACTTAAAAACTCTAAATTTTTCACAAAGAGGGCAACTTTCTAAATCTATGACAAGGTAAAACGAGGTATTTTTTGCTTTGTATTGGTCATTTCTGGATGTTACTAGGAGGCACGCACATGTGGAACACCTGTTTTCTGATAATCATTTCCTGGGCTATTCACCTCCAGTTTGTCCCGGTTATCGTTGTTTAGGTATCCGTGATATTTCATCGGAAGCAATTCACTTCATTTTTTGAAATTTATTAAAAATGTGAGCGCATTTATGAAATATCGGGATCCACTCGCATCTTCCTGCTCCAAAAAACCATTTCGGAAGCTTTAATATCGTACAGGAAGTTTCTCAGTTTTTGAAATTTTTGCTTTTGTTAAAATCACCGTTCTCTCGAACTTTACACCGTCAAAGAAACAAAAGGAAATCTAATGGTGCATATAATCGGACACAGTACGGAGAGGCCGAACGGTGACACAGGAAGTTGGCGGACCGAAACAACCCTTTCTCTTAGCATCCAGCAATGCACGCTGTTGTTTCAGAATTTGTTGCGAGGGCACAAAAATGCGCCAACATTTACCGCAACACACGATTATTCATAAGTTTTTGCGTCATTTTTTAAAAAAAGGCATTCCAAGAATCGAAATATTTCTGTTCGAAATAAAAGTTGAGAATCGAAATAAAAATTGAGTGATTTTTTCTTCTTCAGTATTTTCTTTCATAACAAAAAAGTAAATATGTGCTATTTGCACTTTATGGAATCGAGTTTATCGAAGATTAGTTTTCGAGTTTCCTTCCTTCTGTGGAAACGAATTTTTGAATAACATTCGTTTCGAATTAAAATAATATGCGAAAATTCTCTTTTTTCGCAACTGAAATTGAATCGAGTCTTTGATTACCATTTGTTCCGAGTTAATACAAAACGCGAAAATAGTTTCTTCTCACTAAAATGAATCGTGTTTTCGAGTACCGTTCATTCCATGTAAAAAAGGTGTAGAAACATTTTTTGATTGAAATTGGATCGAGTTTTCGAATACCATCCGTTCCAGGTTAAAACAAGGTTTGAAAATTCTTTTTTTTACGGTTAAAATGAATTAAGTTTTCGTTTGCCTCTCATTCTGTGTTAACGTAAGATTTTAAAATTCCCCTTTTTTTTTAATTGAAATTGAATTGAGTTTTTTAATACCATTAGCTCGGAGTTGATGATTTTTTGGAGAAGCAGCGTGTAAATCTCTTTTCAGTGTGTCCGTATTCTTTGCTGTTCTTTATCATATCAAAGTTCGCAATTTTTTCCGTGCCCATTCATTGTACAGCTGAGATCGCAGCGAATTATCCACTGCTGAAGACAGTGTTTGCCTAGCTGCCGTTCAAATACTACTCCACCAACTAGTAGTCAGAGTACACTTCCCATCTGCTAGTATTGGTGCTCGTTTTCGCGTACTTGAAATTTTTTTCCATACACCGAATTTTTTCTACACGAGAAATATTTCCATGGATCTTATTCATAGTGGACGAAACGACTACCAGGATCGCCAACAAATTGACCACCAGATGATGCAGTATTGGTCAAAGCAATCGGAAAAACTGCTCCGTGATGGGTTAGAGAAGAACGTCATGAATTGTGGCTGATCAAAGTAATTATTTATAGTGGACAATGGTTCTGGCAGCTAGCGATGATTTCTTTTTGAGATATAACGATTACAGAAGGCATCCCGACATCAATAATTGCATCCCGACATCACTGCTACTAATATGTTCAGGCATTACAATCCTGGAATGTCACCGTTTCGCTTTATAAGACGAGAAGTCAAAGTCTCAATTTTCTCATGTTGCGCTCGATCTGTGTTTACAGCTAAGGGATGAAATATGGACTGACTGTGCGCGAGGAATGTCTTTTTACACATAATCCTTAGTCTGATCTCTTATCTCCTACTTTATTGTTTCTTCTACAATGGCCGCTTCCTAAGAGGCAAAGGCATTCGCAAATAATATGTGTGATAACACTTGACAGCACCAAACAAATGCTAGCAAAACTGATGATAATTCGTTTTTCCCCTCATTCTAGAAATCCGGCTAACTATTCGTTGAAAAAGCATCAAGACAATCGCAAATCGGCCCTCATCCCGACTGACCTAAACTGGAGTAGGAATCCCTTTCTCTCAGTCTGCTAGCCAGCTCCGCGATATTTCGCAACCCTCTCAATCTCTGTCACTAATCCAACTGTCTCTCGCCGCCCTCTCAATCTCGGGTTCTCTTCTCTAACTGCTCTGCAAAAGATGAGGGAGTGCTAGAGAATGAAAGGGCACCGGAAATACAGTGCGTTCTCGGACAAAGATTGAGAGGGTATCCTTCCGGCAAAACAGCATAGTTTTAG